TTGTTTCCGCAAAGCTCAAACCATCTATAGCTTCTTCCTATGGAAACACAGGACTCCACAGTTAAACCTGCTTAGCAGTGTGCAGCCTCATCTATGGAAGCAGGAAGGAAGTGTTGATACACCAGAAACCTTGACATGCTGAGATCAAAGAGCCATGGACTGACGCATGACATTTAAACATGCTTTTCTACAAAGTGCATTTTCAAAAAGTTGAGAGTTCAAAAACAGTACGAATAACTCATGTGTGGAATCTTAGACAAAATTAGATAAATTTAGAGCTGTTAGCGCTTGTTAAATACAAACAACGATAAATAGGCAGGCTTTATTAGAGTATAAGAAGGCTAAAAAGCCCAAACTGTGTGTTATTTCTTTCTATCTGCTTTTCAGCATTGAGTTAACCTTTACCTGTTCCTTTGTGCCAGCTCACACTGATGCAGTACCACACTCAAATCTCAATAAGTTAGAATGGATATTACAGAGTTAATATAAGGCTCAGGATGTTTTAACAGGGAGTATCCCTTAAAAAAGTGAAGCAAAGATTTTTTGGACCCTAAACTTGAAAGAGAAAAGATTTGTTTTTTTTTCCTTCGGGAAGAGAATTGTTTATATTTGCTGTCTGATATTTAATTGTGTGCAGAGGCTACAGTGGCAGTACAGAGTGAAAAAAAATAGTTATTTAATTTTGTTTGTTAATTTATTTTGTTAAATTTTGTTAAATTTGTTATTTAGCATTTAATGAAAATATAGCATCCATTGAATTTATTTTTCTAACATCCACTTCAGGTGTGAATTTCATCAGTTTTAAAATTAAGCACAAATTAACGCCTGCGTAGAAAAAAACCTTTAGAGACCAGCCAGCAGCTGGGCTGCTTGCTTAGAACGAAAGCAGTTGTATTAGACCTTTCCCTCGGATGAGCTGAAAACCTCCTGTAGGAAATGAGACGCTTACACAACAGTAACAGTCACCAATAGTAACAGACACGTTCCAGATTCTAAAAATACTCCAATGATTCATTCATGAAACAGGGCAAGAAATGAACGCTGCCTGGCCACAGATTGGGATTCTAATTAAATATTCTTTCATTTTGCTCACGTTATGTAATCTTTCACAGGCGAAGATGAGTCACGAATCTGAGAGGGTTACTAACCTGCTGAACATTTAACCTGCCTCCCTGGAACGGATTCCTGTTTTATTTCCACAGAGAGAGACCAGTGGAAGGAAGAAGTAAATATAGACTTTGCTGGTCTCCTGCTGTCACTCTCATTTTCAACTTAAAGGCTCTTTCTGTTGTCTTTAAATAAAACGAAAACCGGGGATAAAATGTTTTTTTGTCCCTGCAACGAGGCTTTCTCTACCAGCTGGAGGGTAACTCTTGATGAGTTATTGTCACACCATTGGCAGAAAAAGAAGATAAAAGTGCAAAAAAGAGACAGAGGTTTCTTTTTTTGTTGTTGTTGTTGATTTCAAGAGCGTCATTATTTCCACCGCAAAAGTTAACTAAATGTTGGAGCGGTTTAGTTATTTTGTCCATGTGCTTGCATGCTGCTGTGGTATCATATTTGATAGTATCTGCTGGATAAGCTTAATTATGATAGCCAGAAAAGCCATCCAGCAAAATGTCATGCAGGAGTTTCATGCTAGAGTCTTTTGAATGTCTTGAAATCCATGTTTAATGGCTCATTTGGGCACATGAGACTGCCATTTTTTGCACTAATAGCATTTTGGGAAGGCAGCCCCCACCTGCTTTCACTTTGAACCCCACAGGTAAATGACTGGAAAAGATTGGATTCCTTATGACAGTAGCCAGTTTCCTGTGCTACCATTAGGTGTAATTAAACGCCTGGAGAGAGTAAATGTGATGCATATGGGTGCGTATGTGGTGCTGTCAGAGTTTTTATAAACATACAGTGCTGTGCAGTAGACTTAGGCACGTCGAGGGACAATGATGTATGTACGTGTTACTGTACCTAGCTAGCACTAATACTAGCTCCACTAGTATTTCCAAGTATTCCATCAACTTTATTAATTGATTCATTTGATGAATTATTTATTAAATGTATGAATTAGATATTAATACATTAATAGAGGTTCGCTTGGGCAAGAAGAGATCAATCTTGTGATTTTGCAATCTTTAAGTCACATTGATCGGAATATTCAAAAATGTGATCACAGTGACTCAAGGTAGACTAGACTGTATGTGAGAATCCATCGCGTTTACTACATCTAATTGACTTATTGTCAGGTTTTCAAGAGTTCAATTAAGGGTTCAATTCCATAATTAAGCTGGGCTGAAACAAACATCAGCAGGTGAGTGGGCCTCCAGGCCCAGGACAGGGCGCCCCTGTCCTTAAACACAGAACACACCAATTTTTGGGGGGGTTGGTTGTCTTCTGCTGGTCAGAGGGCCCTGGAGCAGTGAAAACAAACATGAGGCTTCCTCCACCACAAAGCTGCTGTTGTCTTGTCATCAGTTTGAATCCAGGCTTAGAGATGTTAATGTTACAGTAAGCGCGGTTCTTTAAAAGGCTCAACGCGCACTGTTCCACCTGACCCTCAGGGTGCTCTCCGCTAGATTTAATCTCAATTCGTTTACGTCGTGGGGCACCCTGGCAGCCACCTCTCTTCTTCAGAGATGGGAGGTGGTCACAGGCAGGTCGGGTTTGCAAGTGAACTTCCATTCTTTAAAAATAATTTCGTTTTTGATTTACACACAGCTGGCAGATTGTATCTCAGCGGTGTTTTTTTTTTTAAACCAGCTGGGAACATTTTATTGAAGAGCTTTCTTTTATTTTAAATCAACAGAAAAAGAACCAAAACTGTTTTATTAAACTTGCAAATCAGTATTGGGATAGCTCCCTAAATACTGCTGACAAGCAAAAATATAGAACAGCATTTGTATGTTTTATTAATTTTGTTGCACACTGGTAGAATATTGCCAACATTGCATTATATGTGAAAAATGAGTGAAGACATCTTTTTAATTATTTAAAGAGCCTTGGGATCCATTGCCCTAAATGATCCATAACTTTCATGTGCCTAACAATAAATGCATATGAAAACTTCAGAATATTTACAAAAATGTATTATGGGTAGGTCAATATTTTCAAGCTTCTATTTTCCCAATTTTTGTTGCCCGTTTCTTTCCTGCTGACAAGGCTATATCAGGGATTTGCCAGGGAGAGAAATGAAGGAACAAGAATGCCATATTCCAGATAGGAGCTGCTGGAAGAGAGGCAGATGTCAAAATCTCAGCAGGACCAGCAAATCAGTCTGCAAGCTGTAGCGAACAGAGCTACATAATCTCCAGGGAAATTAGCTGGCGAAAAGGTGTTGTGGTTTAGAAAACAAGATTCTTAAACAAATTCTTTCCATGTCCTTGTTGGGCAAGATAGGGGCTTTTCTATTATCTTCAACCCACCAAGACAGGCAAACACTTCAGGAACATACACTGTGCTGGGAAGCTATGAATGCATGCCTGAACTCCAGAGAGACTAAGTGTGTGTCTGTGGATGGCTCTCAGAGAATGCTGATCCCAAGTGTATAGCTGATCAGCATTGTTTAGGGAAGTGGTGCCTAATAGGTTTTTATAGATTATTATGCTGCAGCTGTGTTGGCAGCTCTATCTAAAATCCTCTTTAATGTGCAAGAACAGCAGGGGTGAAGGACTCGCTGCACTTCAAGTGCAATATATCGCTAGCAGTCTTCGAACCCCCACGGTGTTTATATCTGGACACAGTAAGCAGGAGTGTGCTGGGCTCTGATCTCGCAAGCATACAGGTATGAAATTGATACAAACAGCCAGGGGATCATGGGAATGCAGAAGGCTCTCCTGTTTACCATGTCCACAAATAAACACAGAGGGTCTCCATCACTGCTGTAGCACAATCGAATCGGCAGCAGGCCTATCTCATGTGGCATTGAGGGGTGTGCTCATAGCGCTTGATTAACAGAAAAGTTAAAAAAATAAGCTGCAAGTCTAGAGTCAGATCAAGTGTGACATGATGCAAAGAGAATATTTTTTAAAGTGTCTCTCCTTTCTTTTTGTTGTTGATGTTTTTTTTGTTCCTTCCCTAACTACCTTGGCATTTGCATACAGCTGTGGGTTACTCCGGAGCTCCTTGGTTTGAGACGTGGGTAATTTCTGCTCCATATGCAGAGCCTGGGCAGAATATGTATTCGGCTTATTGCCTTTTCCAACTGAGTCTGAATTTCAAAAACCGGAGCCGTTATGTTTCATATTTCCAAAACAATCTTCTGTGAAAACAGAAAACAGATACACACATTCCAGTCTGCTAGGCAAGCCAAAAGATTACTCATTCAAAATGAGCTGCCCACAGAGAATTTTGAATAGCTGCTAAATGCCCATTGCTGCATCATCAGAAAGTCTTCATTCAGCTTTTCGATGAAATGAGCTTGTGATTGATCTGACTGGAGAACCAGTGCATGGAGATTATGAATGCGTACAACATTACATCTACCAGTCAAGCCTTTTGTAAAACCGGATCCACAAATTGTGCAAATAACCCACACCGTGCCCTACAGCAATTTGTTATTGACATGTTTGTTTGTAAATATTTGCTGGGAAGGAGCCACTACGAGATTAGATTTGATTGAAAAACCTCAACACCCTATACCATTAGTCATTAATGGCTAAAAAGGATACTGCAAGGGGCATGAAAGACAGCTTTGAAACTGGGGAGACAAAGCGGATCTCTTCCTCGAAAGAACTGCCTGCGGCAGAATGGAAGGAGAGAGCTGCAGTTATAAGGAAAGCTTGAAAGGCATGTTGCACAAGCCTATCTATACGTCCAGTGTCTGACAGCATACTTCTTTAACAGAATCATCTCTCATTTCTCACTGTTGCAGCGGTAGTGGCGAGCACTCGCATGCTCGCATGTGCACTGCGTTGCAGGGAACCTGACCTCAGTGTGCTGAATCAGCTGGTCGCGCGCTGCTCATGTGTCACGCACTGCAGGGGCTGGAAACCCGCCAAGCTTACCCCTCGGATGGCAATGAGGATCTTGCTGTAGCAGAACACCATGAGCATCAGGGGCAGCAGCAGGCAGAAGACGAACAGGCAGACCACGTAGGACACGTTGCTGAGGGAGCGAAGGTGCCACTGCACCGAGCAGGTGGTCCCGGGACCCTCCGGCCCGTAGCTGCTCCAGCCCAGGAAGGGGGGGAGGGTCCAGACCAGGGAGTAGAGCCAGGAGCCAGCGATGCAGAGCCAGGCCTTCCGGTAGTCTCTCACGTCAGCCTTGGTGGAGCGCAGCACAGTGACATAGCGCTCGTAGGACAGGAGGGACAGAGACACCAGAGACACGATTCCTGTGCAGGGGAGGGGACAGAGGGGGCAGCATGTGAGGAACACAGGCCCTGTCCACGGTCCAGACGACACGTCCTCGCACACGTCCCCCTGTCGATGTCCACACAGTGGGGGAAGGAACGGGGGTGAGACACGGGGGCAGGAGGAGGACATGCAGAGTAGAACTTTCCCATCTGCAGCTTTCATTATATTTAATGCATTTTTCATTTTAATATCACAACGTAGCTGCTCTCAATCACTGGAGATCGTAAGCTCAAAGTGGACCTCAGTTCAGTGTGCTAGACAGTGTGCTATCTATTCAGAAATTCTCTTTATCAGTCTTCACCAGATTTTACATTTGCTGCTGGCCCTTTGGTGCCAGGACTACGAAAGCCTCTGGTTTCATTGGAATTCACTGCCTGTTCTGATTCTGGCTTTGTTTCATGAAAGCGGTTTGTTTCATTTAGGTCGTTGTATAATTTCGCTTTTAAGCTCTCTTTTAACTATGTCTTTCATTAGCTGCTCCATATGATAGATAATTAGGTTGCTGTCTTTATTAAAGATTCATGCCCCTGTTTTTGTCCCCTTTTGAGTTTGAGAATCGTAAGGCGCTGTGAGGCATCTTCAGAAACAGCGCCTCAGAGTCAGACATCAGCCCGGCTGGCAGTTTGAGCCACTCACTGAAGGATGGTTTTTTATGACCTTTTCACAGTGCTCTCACCTGGCGGGCTGATCCTTGTAGTGAGAAGCTGTGTCCCTGAGGGTCTCTTTCTGAAGCAGAGGAACCCAGCTCTGGTCCTCAGGGCTGCTGTCCAGCAGGGTTTACAGGTCTGTTCTAATCTAAAGTCTTCGCAGGAACAAGGAGAGGCTTCAGCTTGTCCAGTTTAGTCACTAATGAGTCCAATTAGTCAATTAAGGGTTTAGGTGAGAAGAAAACCAGAAGAAATCCCTGTGGCTCTCCAGAATTGTGCACTACTCCTTTAAAGAAAATAATTTATTATTTTCTGTGGCCTCCCTGTAAGCTGCTTATTATTTTCTTCACTTTATTATTTTTTCCATTAAGCATGCTTACATCTAATCTTTAATAGGTAGTAAGTGTCAGGACTGTGCGCCAGGGGTGTCTAACCTTGGACCTGGAAAAATCAGTCTTATCACCTGTTTGTAAAATTGTAAATTATTGATGAGTTAAGCAAGTTATCTGTTCAAATTAGGAGACCTCCTGTCCTTGAGGGCCGAAGTGTATTTCAATTTTAGTCCCAAATGATCTCTACTTATTTCACTAATCACATGCTTAAGTGATCACATTGAAACTGTTCCACATTTAGAAATTGGCCAATTAATGCTCTCCAGGAGGAAGGTGAGAGACCACTAATTTAAACACTGATCATCAACAACATCCAAAACGTAGTACTGGCAAAAGAGAAGGAAAATGAAAATATATTATTCAGTACTGTCACCTGGCTTTACCTATCTGCTTTAAAATCAAGGCTGTCGAATATTTGTGCCTGCATGTTCTGTATATCAATGAATATTATCTTCAGCTGAATTTTTAAAGGGAAACTGCAGTCCCAAATTCCTCTGACCAGTTATTAACACTAAGTAACAAAATAAATTCATTGACATTATACTTATTGTATGTTCTTGTGTGTTCTTTTGATATATTTACACCCCATCTAAAACGTGTGTCCTCTACAAAAGGGTAGAGACCCACCAGGAAATCACACATACAGTACGTTTCTGAATGAGAACCAGCACCAGAGGCCAGCAGAGAAGGGTCTTTCTCCGTTTAGACATCCCTGACCACAGCTGTGCCTCCTGGGAGGAAACATTTGGAATGAGAGGTGAAGAAAAACAGTGGAAACACTTTGGAAAACAGTGACCCAGACTCAGCAAACATCCTCCTATCCAGCACAGTGGAGTGGTAGCGAGTGATACTGCCTTTGAGTTAGTTATGGACTGGGGAGACTTCTGTGGGGACCCTGCATGTTCTGCCCGGGTCCATGTGGGTTTTCTTGGGGGGGCTCCAGTTTCCCCAGACGTCTGAAAGATCTGGTGGCTAGATTAGTTGGTTTCGTTGTTGGTTTAAATTGCCTGTGCGTGTGTGTGCCCTGCAATGGACTGGCGTCCCGTCTGAAGCCCTTTACTGCCGGAATATATTCTAAATTGCTGCAACTCCTACCAGGATTCGCGATGACGAATGTGTGGAAAATCCGTGCCGTTTTAAAATTAGCTAACACAAAGCTGGATTCCCTGGGTTTACCTTTTCTATTTTTCTTTTGGCTTTCATTTACTTAAGAGTCTGTTAGTTCTTCATCCCTCAGTTCAAGGGCGATTTCCTTTCTAGCACAAGTCTTTCCATTACAAATCCACAGCCGATGTTGTTCAAAGTCACAGGAATCGGCTGCAGCTCTCTTCAGCAAACCCCAGTGTAGTGTAATGCCTGTTTTGCTATGCTCTAGGTAGCATTTGTTTCTGAGTGTGTGTTGTAATGGGCTTCAGAAAAGCAGGACATTGCCATGGAACGTGTAAAAGGATGCCTTCATAAGCCTGTTTCACTTCCATCCCTTTGCAGCCTTTTGCTCTGCTAGGAATGTCAGCTCTCCTTCAATTAATCCCTGAGATGCCACAGCGAGGAAATTCAAGAGATGCCCTTGACTGCTCCAGTTTCCACTTGAAGCAATTACTGCACTTCAGCAAACAGTACTGTCGCAACACAGAGCCTTAACAACATTGAAAGCAGGCAGGTGAATACGTTATGATGTGAAAAAAATAAAGCTACAAAACAATGCAATAGATCTAATGTAGTTTCACAGAAAATAAGGACATTTCAGCAGAACTGTTCAGAATATCTGCTTCAGATCCAGCAGCTCACGAAAGCCCAGTATTCTGCGAGTTAACTGTACGTAAGTCATTATTTTGGCCTTAAAACAAATTGTTACAGTTTTGCAGACTTGCAATAGAAAGAACACAACTATTTTCTGTCCATGCTGTGAAGAGGAGATGGTCAAAACAGATGTTATTTTTGACCACATTGGAAACTGTCACTCCTCATCGCATAGTCAGAAGATGGGTTTCAGATCTTCATTCGGTCTCTACAGAAGACAGGATTGAAGTGCTCTTTTTTAACAACTTTTTTTTTACAACACCTGAACCCTGACTGGTGTCGCTAAAGCCCAGTGCAGACTACACATTTACAAATGAAGTGACCAACGCCCACCATGAACTCACGAGATCAGGAAATAAATGCTGATTGCAATATGCTCATTAAACCCCTTTCCTTCACTCAGGTTCAGCACAATGAGTATAAAAGACGCTTTTGCAAATGATACAGTGATGTTTGCCAGAGATCATGTTCTTCATTCGGTTATTAACACTTGTTCACAAGCAGGTTCAGGACGTTCTGAGCACTGTGCCATGCAAACACCTAGTCAGATAATTTAATCTCACTCTGCATCCTGCCACTTTCTAGAGCTCAGAACATTTGAACAGTCCACAGGGGAAATATCAGTTAATTAAATTAACAAAACTGGGTGTTATTTTTTTCCTTTCCTCTAGACACAATCCTCTTGAACAGCAGTCATGCTGTGATATTGTAGGTGCTTTGTTCCAGCCTGCAAACAGGAAAAAGACAAGGACACTCGGCAGCCTGAAGCAGTATCTAGCTAGGAAACCCCACTGTAAATAACAGCTTCTGCATTCTAATCACTACAGAGAAATTAGTTTGACAGACTCTTAATACGAAGTTGTAAGATTCCACCGATAACACATGGATGTATACTTGTATACAGTATGTGTGTGGTTAGTAATGTCCAGTATATACTGTAATTAACAGGGCTACAGCTCATTGTTTAATTCTGGTTCTGCAGAGACATTTGCACTCATTAGTAAAATAGCTTTGCTGCTGCGCTACTCAAAACGGTGAACAAACGGCTTCTGTTGACATGTGGGCTTGGGAAAAATGCATATTCCGCATTTCCTGTTTATTTCTCTACCCTCTACCAGAGTGGAAATTAAGACCTAGCTGGGGTTCAGAATTTACACCAAGGGAGTTAATGAATGCTGTGTAATGGAGTTACTATATAGGTAATAAATACATGGCATATTTGTCATCACAGAAAATTGTCCATTTACATTTTTTTCAGAAAACATGATCTGTGATATCCCACATGTGGAAATATTTACGTTCTATGTTTAAAACAAAATGCATTAATCACTGTTGCTGCAAACTAAAACCAGCATGAGCTGTAATCAACAGACATTCTGCTCAACAGTGCAATCTGATTCCTTTTTGAGAAATAAGAAAAAATGTGTTTTATTTTTCCGAGCATTGAAAAGACTGAGAAGAGGGAAGGCAGAAGTATTTTCTGTCTACGCTGTCCCATGTGATAATCAATGTAGGTGATTATCTGGTGCATGTTGCAACCACCCACTCTTGATCAAATCCTCCAGAACAGCTCTTAGCACTGAATGATCATTCTTTCCAAGAGCTAGTGATAACTGGCTACTGTGATGTGCCAGCTATCACTGGTTTAAAGATTTAGCAAGAAGTCCCTTATAAGAATTGGGATTACATCTCGAATTCTTCTTCAATGAGCTTAGTAAAACAAAACATTCATGGACATCTTGACATTTCAAATTAATTTTCAAGTACACTCACCCCCTCTTAGTCAGGGTAAACATTATGGAAAATGTAGTTTGCATGTTTGGACAATGTTTGAGAAATATTTTGTGTCTTAATTAATATTGAGCAAGAATTGCTTTACTAGACAATTAAAAGTCTTGTAATAAACTCCTAAGAAAAGCTAATAGGCTATGTGTCTGGTGGGATGTATAATACAGTAATGGCAAAACTTAGCTGGATATCTCACATAATTCACACACATATCTCTAAGATAAACTGGGCTATTTTTGGCATTCCGTCTTCAGTTCCATTCTTTTGATGGTTTTTGGAGAATTAGAAATTGTTCACAAAAATCACAATATTTAAAATGATACCAAAAACAAAAAAAAACAACATAAAAATCCACAGATGTACGAAACACACTCTCTGCTCTGGATTCGTAGGACCAGGAATTATAAAAAGAAAGGAGTGTGAAGCATTCTCTCAGAATATAAAAGCAGTCTAACTTTATTTTTCAAAACACAGTAGAATGTCCAACGTCTTGGTCAGCAGCCTGACTCTCATTAATAATACATACATAGAATCCAGTAAATTACATTAAATTCAATTAACTGAAGGTTTGTATATCTGGAGGTTGGTGTGCTTCTTGATATTTCATATTTTCCAAAGGTGAGCTCTGGGTCTTACATCCTGTTTTTTAATAAGCAAAAAAGTCGCTTCTTAATTAACAGTGGCTACAAAATAGTCCACAGAACCCTCTTCCACATGACTGGCTTGTAGTGGTGGAGATTCTCTCCTGCTAAAGGCAGCCTTATTAAGATACACAGCTGCCTCAGGAAAGCCTGCATCTCACGTCTCAGGATTATAAAGAAACGGACCTTTAGTACAATTTGAGATTGCCTAGATGAAGCAAAAACCTAAAGAATCAGCCTTTTTTGCATAGCGCTGCTGAGGCACTATTTCATGCACTCTCTCTCTCATCTCTCTCCCTCTGTGTGAGATGCTTGATGTTGTAATCTCAGCGCTACAGATCCTGTCATTTCTGTCAGTTTCCTGACTTTTTACACTCCGGATTGCCACATGTTGTTTCTGCTTTCGTGTTGTGCTGCCTGGCTCAACCTGGCCCCCATCTCCCCCCCCCCCGCTGCAGACGCACGCGCAGGACTCACAGGGTACAAAGCGGGGCGCCCTGGCTCTCAGCTCTGCATCATTAGCGGGGAGCCATCATTTTGGGCTCCTTCAGCTGGAAAGACAAAGGGAACCTCGTGCTCGCTCCGACTGACAGGCTGCTCCATAGATATCGCTCCCCTCCCTGTAAATTTTCCTCTTTTCCTGAGCTTCACCTGTTTTTGTACAGCACAAGGTCTCTGCCTGTGTTCATCCAGATCGACCAAGCCCCCCCTGCTCTGCTGATCTCACTGTCCTTTTCCACAGTATACTACGGTAGCAATGGGGCGCTCCATCAGAGGAACAGGAGGTACTGGGAGTAGTGGTCGGGCTACAGGGTGAGTCCTGCCTGCTTGCCACGCAGGTTCGGCTGTCCCTGTCAGCGCCGGCCCCTGCACTGTTCATTCTATTGCGTGTATTTAGCAGACAGTCCAGTGCTGTTTAGTCTAGACTTGACGAGTCTGCACCCTAAATGCCAAAACTGTCATTCTTTCCTCCCTCTATGCACTGTGCGGATTATCTTTGCATTTCTTTCTGTCAATTGTCACTTCCCACGATTTAAATATCTCAGCAAGCTCAGTCCCGCCCCCTTTTCAGAGCTCTTAGTGCCTGGCACGGTGAACCTTCTGCGTGGAGCTTGCATGTCATTCTTTCTTATTGTTGTTTTTTCTCCCCAGCGTTGGGTGTAATAGGCAGTTCGGTTTTGTGCGTGTGTCTGTGGTCACTGAATTGTGCGTGTGCGCCTTGCAGTGGCCTGGCATGCTGTCCAGCCAAAAACACACCGTCAGCTGCCTCGTCCCTTACCAGGAAGAAGTGGCTTTCTGATGGCCGGTCTGCCTTGCCCTCGCTGCCACCTCTCCTCTCCCCGCCGTGTCTGATCTTCAGGCTGACAGCCTGCTTTCAGCTGCCTCCTGATTTCGAGCGCAAATCGCCAAGTTGGAAAGGACCAGCGGTGAGAGTTTGAGGGGGAAAAAAACGCCTGGGGGACTGGGGGGTGGCGGTGGAGTTGGGGTCTCAGGTGCAGCAGGGCGCTCGGCCGTGCACGAGCTGGGAACTGAAGCCCGGGGTGAGCGCGCGCCTCAAGGGGACAAGGCGCTTCAGAATTCAAAAAAAAAATCTTCGCAGCTCAGAGATTTCGGGACCCCCGTGGAGACAGACTCTGATGTCTGGCGGGAGTCAGATGTAATTCTCTTCACCAGAGTAGCGTGAGAGCGCTATCCAGATTGAGTGATTTGAAGTGATTTACTGTACGTGGTAAATATTTACTCTTTTTTTGTTTTGCCAGAAGCATCAGGATAAAAAAACAAACAAACATGAGACCCCGCAGATGGGGACTATAACGCACCGCTCACTTGCGTCGCCCGCCCGTAACTCCTCGGGTGAGAGGATAAACTCAGCTCTCCTGAAAGTTAATTAAACTCGGCGTGAGCGCGGGATACGATCGCAAAGCCTCGATCGAGGAAATCGCAGGCACGGTGCAGTATCTCCCGAACTTCATCTGCAGTAGCTAATTTTGTAGCACTTATTTTTGTCTTCACCTGAAGCGCATTTCCCCGCAGAGAGTCGGGCGAAACGAACTGGCGGGGTCGCTTAATCTGTCGGACTGAGGTCTGACTCATGCGAACCCTCAATCAAGAACAAACCCCATCAGGGCAGGAGCGAGGATTTGCCAATATATGTATCTTTATAAAGATAGAACAATTTAAGATTTTTTTAAAGGAAAAAAGGGTCATAATCTAGTAATTAAAGTACACAAAGTGTTACCTCTCTTTACGCACGGACTTTTCAGAGCCTCCGCAGCGTTGGAACTAATTGGCTGGTAATATTCATCGCGTTGCACTTCGGCCAAGTCTGCAAGTCTGCCCGAAACTTTCTGCCCCGTTCTGCCAGCGCAGTGGTAACCTCTTACACACGAAACCGTTGATTTTTTTTTAAATGCAAACGGGCTGCGCGGGCACAACCCGTCAGCGAATTAAAGTGAGCTTACCGAAGAGTGAATTGGCGAACCCGTACCACTTGCAGCCCTGGTGCCCAATGAGCCACCTGCCGCGGAGGCTGGCGGCGAAGCTGAAGGGGGTCCCGAACACGCACACCAGCATGTCGCTGGCGCTGATGTTCAGCAGAATCAGGTTGATCGGAGTCCGGACCGCCTCAAACTTGGCGAAGATGACGAGGACCAGCAGGTTGTTCAGGAACCCCAGCACGAAAATCAGTCCCAGGAAGACGGCCACCACCGTGTGGCCAGCCCGGCTCAGGGTCGGCGGCTCCTCGGGCGCCAGGCCGGCCCGCGAGCTGGTGTTGGCGGTCAGGATGAGCACGGGGCTGTCACTGGTGCTGAAGTTCAGAGCCCCCCGCGGGACGACCATGTCAGCTGCGGTTCGCGAGAGCCGGGCGGGCAACGGGGCTGGGGGAAGGAAAGGGAGACGCTCGTACACACACACACAATTACACACGCGTGTGCACGGAGGCGCTCCGGCTGGTGCGCGTGTGCTCTGCAGCCCACTCGCTCATTCTCTGCTTCTCTTCCAACTCCTGGAGTTAGTTTCTCTCATGCTGCTAAAAAAAACACCTGCACGTAACGCGGGTGGGTTAGCGAATGCCTGCTAATGAAAGAGAGCTCAAGCCCATTCTCTCACTTCGGCGTTTATTTAGATGGTTGATTACAATAAGCCGCCGGATACGGGCAGATTGCGTCAGGAGTGTGGGAGCCCCTTGTTTGATACGGTTAGAAGCCCTGAGCAAAGAAGCACTTGTGTTTCTCAACGACAAAGGGGAGTTTCAGGAGACTTTCAATATATCTTTAGCATAAAATGCATTAAATAGTACCTGTATGTATGAGATAAGAGCGCCAGCAGAATGCCGGTGAAGGATTTTTAAGGTTGCAGTTCAGTTAAATGTTCAATGCGGTGCTGTTTTCCGAATTGTCATCAAACTATTTCGCATTGCCATTGGATTTTAAATATAATAAAGTTACAAATGAAAAACTGAGCATACTGTATGATGAAAGTGATGTTCATGTTCATCACCGAACTCGTCAAGGTCTAAAGATCTAGGGGAACCAGGGAAATGGTTTAATGGCGAGTATGATCAGGTACAGTAGCTTGTTGTTTTCGTGCTCCTAAAAGGATTTTGAGCGTGGCAGATTACGGATGCGCAGATTTGTGGAAATGATCGAGAGAGAAGCAGAGGTGTAGCTTTTTAACAATGCATGTAACAAAAGATGCGTAACGAAATCTAGACATCAGCAATCTGTTCTAACACACGGTGCTGCCCAGACAGATGTTATAAAGTCTGTTTTTTTTGCGCTTTTCTCGTTTGAACCAGTTTACGTTCAGCCTCAGAGAGCTTTTCTAACCACAGAAAAGACATATAAACCAAGATGTCTATTGCAAAGTGAAGACCACTACTTTTTGCCTAACCAGAAGCACAGACAAAATTCTGATGAACTTGTAACCATCCATAACTCTTGCACAGACTCTATGTGGACTGGACATTCAACTACTTCATGAAATGATTGCATTTATATAGAACTTTCTTATCTCACAGAATCTGAATGCATGTTACAAATACAAGAGGGCCCCCCTGTCCACCAGCACAGTGTAGCCCCTCATACCGTATACTGTCACATACTGTAGCAGTCGTTCTGCACAACAGATCAGGGGGAGAAGTTTGAAATTCCGTCACCATTTGAATTCAGGGGGATCTTCAGGGAGGTCAGATTGTACAAGCCCAGACTAGACATTAACTACTCTTTCAAAAAGTGTCATTTGAAAGGGACATTTGATGACATGAACTATTAAGGGCCCCCGTTTAACATTGCAGCACCTCCCCCAGCCTAGTGTCCCCTATCACCATACTGAAGCACTTGATTGGACATTCTGGTCCAGAGGTGTGATCGCCAACTACTGTTCCACCAGCTCCTCATGCAGTAGTCCCGCCTCGCTTTGAGGATCGGGAGTACAGAGCACCACGATGGGATCACAGACATTTGCAATGGGGTGGAGTTGATCACACCTTGTTCAGGCGATGCCTTCATCTCTTATTGTGGACTCTGCGAATAAGGGCGTCCTACGTACGTTCCACTGCAGGCCTGGTTGGTTCGGTGTAACTAAACGTCCTCCTGAAATCCAGTCAGGGAAGCTGTTTCTTCCTTCTCCACCTGCTCTGCTGTGGTGGGAAGCTGCTGGCGCAGAACAGCTGTCTCACATCACACAGGTGGGGGCTGCACCGCAGTAGTGGGTGGGCTGACTCCCCTCCTATAGAATTCAGAGTTATTACACTTATATAAGGCACTTCGATGCAATGTGCAGCTGAGATCCTCGAAATGGAGTTTAGAATGAAAGTCGGGGAGGGATGACGACAACCATGTCCAATCGGACTCAACCGTTAGTAATCCGCCATCAGCCCTGACGTCATTTCCTCTCCTGAAAGACCAAACGCTGTGCGTGATCGCCTTCTCTCCCTCGCAAACGTCTTCTTTCATCCCACCTCTGCCCCCTCTTCACCTCCACAGGTGCCCTTTGGTCACCCCCCACTCCGCAGGGGGGTCCCAGCCTCCTCGTCCCCTGGTCAGGAGGTCAGCCCCCAGCCCAGTGGGTTAAGCCAAATTTTGACTAAACACTCCTGCGTCCATTCAATGTACTTAATTCCTGGTGCTCCTGCCACTTCAGTTCTGAATTTGCTTTTTATTTGTGTTTTTTTGGTTGTCTGCAGTCATTTAGGTAAATATTTCTCCTTGTAATTAATAAAAACATATAAGCCGACGAGTTGCAGTGGGAGACAAGCGAATATGAACATTTTAGTTTTTTTTCCTTGGGGCTAAGTTAGCTACCCAGATAAAAAAAAGAAACCATTCAGCCAATTCAACAGAATTTAAATTACTTTTTTTAATTAATTTAATTTATTTTTTACTTTGGGTTCAACATAAAACCGGTGCTGAACTGAAGTGCTGAACTTGGAATGCAAATGTACAGTTGTAATGATTTGTTTTTCTATGTGAGACCGATTTACCATAGCATCTGTATACAGGTATGTCACCGATGTCGGCCTCTTTCCTCAGAAATCAGAAGAAGATCCTTACAGCTGAGTGAACTAAACTGAAAAAGAACTGAACTGTCCTGGAAACCTAGTGGGTAAATTAAAAATAATTATTAATGTATTTTGAATTAAATAGCCTTGGAGCCCTTTCTCTCCCAGACTCCTGTGGATGAAATATATTAGTCTCTGCCAGTGCATCCTGGGTTTTGGCCTTTTAATTGTATTGAATTTAACTCCAAGAGCATTGCGTTCAGGTTCTTTGTTAAACAGTACATGCTGCATTTCAGTTCACTGAAGGCCCTGGACAAAAACACAGAAAACGAAAGTAACTCCATTATTTTAACTGATGTATCATTCAGCGAAATATGGGTTTAGCAAATAAAGAATTCTTCATACTTCTGTTACCATTCATCATTTTCGTTGGTGACCACTGTTTCATTCCTAATTGTCCTCACCTATTGTGGATCTCCACAAATCACTGTTACTGCTACTGAGCCCAGACGGGAAAAACTTCGACTCATGGCCCTGCGCACCTCTTAACACATGAATGTACATTTTTTCTCATGATGTCTTTGCAATGTGGAATTGACGGTGGTCAGTCAATTTGAATGCCACAGGGTGGTGGGAATCTGAAAAGGCTTCCCTGCCGCGATGCTGAAACTGATATTCTCCTTTCTTTCAAGGAACAACTGAATGACATCCTTGGATCATTAGCTACTAACTATCAAACGGGACAGAGGGGCCACATGGTTTACTCTTGTTTCTGACTGGTCTTCTGTCCTTAACGTGGCCTTACAGCCGCTGCTGTTCCAATGCCAAGGGAAGAATGAGGCCATGCTGTCTTTCACAGTGTACACCGTTTGGGGCAGTGTGCAGCTTAACTCCCCGTGAGACACAGAATGCCTCATAAGAAAACATCAGTTGGAAGAGTGATGCCTCTTTCAGCTGACAACACTAAAAGCTGTGCTCCTGACCTTTTGTTGTGTTTAGTTAGTTTTACATTCACACTAGGGATTATCGATTCCTAGTTGGTTAAGTATATAGCCCAAAATTAATTTAAAGTGTCCGGGCTATAGGGCTCAATTGGTGCTCCAAGATAGAATCTTGCCCTGTTGATCCACTCTTAAACATCACAGCATTACTTTAGAAACCACAGCAAAGGCCTTTTGCTTTTGCTGTGGTTTCTAAAGTAATACTGCACATTTATTTACACCACAAATTTCCAAGCAGACTAGCCAGAACTGGTGCACAGGATTTACATTGATCCAGCAATACACTGCTCCCTTTGATGGAGCTCATGAATTAAAGACAGGCCACCTACCGAAATGCAGGCCCTGTTACTGCCACTTTTATTAATGGGTAGACCTTTACAAAAATGTTATTATTCAACAGTGAAATTAGTCATTAATGTATCCTCCCCCCATACACACTTAAGGTAATTGTAAAACTTGCCTGGGTGTAATAGCACACTATTGAGAGAATTTTATTTTAAATCACTGTCTGGTGAACTCTGCTGCATCTACAACCTTCTCTCAAGGCGATCTTGAATTGTAATACATATCCTATTAATGTCAAGTGCCTTGTCGTGACTCCTGGATTTCATTTTTCATGCTATAGAAATGTGTGAAGATGTCAAGAGGTGAGTGTGTATGAAAATTCAGCTAGATGTCCTATTCTCATGCCTAGCTACTTTTTTTTCTGCTGGAGGCTCGGTGCTGTGGACCAGCGTGCGCTTCAGCTCTGAAGGGTTACAGGTGTGTCGGGTTCATGGATCTGCTTTTGTGGTCTTCTGAAAGCCAGGGTAGAGTGTTTATAAACAGTTCAAATGAGCACATGATCCAGACGATTCAGCCAAAACCGACATAATATTGGAACTAATTTTCTCAGTACCAGAAGTCCCAGCTAATTGCGATTAAACCTTTAGGAAAGGTTCATTTGCTGTTTTATTCATATTTATTTGTAGGACAATTTTTTTGACTAAATGTGACTTTTCCCACAGCAGTGGAACAAATTAAGAAGAGATTATTTTCCAGCAATGTGCAACTGACCTTGCAAGACCATCAGAGGTCTCCATCTGAAATGAAGTTTAATTTCAACAATCAGCTCCAAACTGCAATGCTTTTCTGTATTTTTGAAGCTCATACTTCTGGCCCACGTGGAAGTTCTGAGGCGGTAGATGTGAGCAGCCGGCCCTTTCTAGAACCGAAAACCAAAATCAGATTCTGGTTCATTGAGCAACAACTGCACTTCTTCATAGTAGAATTCATTTCAAACCTTCATTGTGTGAGTGTCCACTGTGATTTTCTGGCCTTACAGAAGTGTGAATGCGCCCTGTGAGAGTGGTCATGGAGGTGACAAGCTCCTGTCTCTAAGGGAACAATGGACCAGCACCTCCTTCCAGTTTACAATTTTTTTCTTGCAGCCATTCTACACCACTAAAAACGAAGCAAAAGCCATATCCACTGCATGTGCTGTAAAACAGGAATACCCTTTCTTTTATTGTGCTCTGCTTTATATGAATTATATATTTCACCATGCGTTCATTTTGTGTATTTTAATACCTGTGTAATCAGCAAAAAAATAATTGCTTGTAAAAGTTCCCAGTTTTGCAGAAGTGGATCAGTGAAGATGCTGAT